TAAATTGTAATTCTAAAATAAGCATGAAAAGTAGAAAAAAATATATTTTTTTAAAATAGATATCCTAAATAATGAGAATTTAAGTAGATATAACTCGTCATAAAAAGTAGATGAGACTCACACACATTGCTTAAGAACTGTAAATCAAATCAATATTTAATGAAGAAACCCTATGCTTGACAAGAAAAAATGAAAAGTAAACAAATTTTTGTCATGGATCTAGCATGCTTAGAGAAGAGGTAATCATTTAACCCTTAAAGCATAACATGGTAAATATGTTTCTGTCAAGCTAAAAAATTCTAAGGACTTCTAGTTTCTTCCTTGAAGGAACATATTAACCTAATTATGAGGAAAGTTTTTTTGAAAAAAATAAAATAAAACTTGATTCTCTATTTAACTTTTTTTTAAAAAAAGTTTTTTTTAGTTTTATTCGAAAGATTCAAAAATATAAAGAAAAATATTGTAGATTAATTAATGGTTTTATTTAAAAATAATGACTCAATTTCATTAAAGATAAATATGGAAACATATAAAGTTGTTAATTCGAGGATCTTATATCTACTAGTAATATATATAGATAATAATATTTTCATCCTTGGTCATGAAAATGACATACAGCTTAATTAGTAAGTGATTATAAGAAATATCTACTAGAAATATATAAAGCATGTAGTAAGGAAATGGTCAACTATTATTGATGTTGAGTGGTTGAAATCCATGACGAAGGGCAGCTTCCCAAACCTTGTCAGTGTTGGAGATTGAATGACCACACTCGTGTTCTTCCCATCCTTCCAAGCCATGTACTATTCCACCGATACGCCATGCACTCATCACTCTTCTCGGCAACCAATTCTGTGTCCATGTCCAACAACTAATCAATTAGAAATATACAATGAATAATAAATAGTCCAGACAACATAGGTATACCAATGAAATTATTTAATGATTATATGTATATATATATATATAGCTATAAACTAACAAAAAAGGAAATAATTACCTCACAAGAGTCGACATTCTCTAGAGATTTTGGTGTCACCATTGCAGGGGTGGTGTGGTAGATGCAGTCTTTTCTAAGTTTCTTTGGTGGGAATTGGGAGAAAGGGATGAATAATGTTCCTTTTATTGCCTTCATCTGTTCTTCTTCACTCAATCCATTTCCCACTAACCATACCTTGGTTGAAGTAGCTTTTAACATGACAAGATTATTTGCCAAATTGGTGTCAACTGATCTCTTTAGCTTATCATACTGATCAACATGGAAAGTGCCTACCTGTAACAATCATTATTTAATTAATTAAATGTATTGATTTATAGATTAGAGAATTGAAAAAATTCTCTGAAATTAGGGTTTGTTAAAAAAAAAAAAAAAAAAAAAAAAATTGTTAGTTTTAATATGTCTGGACTCCTAGAGAACATAATGGGAAACCCAGAATTCATTAAGGTGGGCTTTTAAAAATAAGCAAATGAGTCACAGTCCCTGAGGATGGAATTGTCAATGTCTTATTTTGTGCTTAAGTTATAGAACAGAAATTTAAAATATTTATACAATAACTAAAAAAAGGAATTTGTTATTATAATTATCAGGGAAATCTTTAAAATATTTTTGTAGAAAATGGTAAATTACCTGTATGCCCCTTTGCCAAAGAGCCAAAACGACGGCGTAAGCAACTTTGGTGAGTGTTCCCCCAAGAAGCACTTGGGTTGTTCCTGGTGGAATGGTATTTACAACAACTGCCACTGCCAGGCCATTCCCATTTACCATCTTTATTTTGAGTCCAGGATTTCGGCGCACATACGCAGCTCCATAACTATTAAGCTCCTCCCCCTACCAATATATATCCATATATATAAACACCCACATATATATATATATATATATACATATTGCTTGTTCTATTTACTTATTTTAAAATTTTAATAATTCCCCTTTAAAATTTAACATACCTGATTCAAGAGTCCCAGACTTAATACTTTGACGCCTTTCTTGTCTGCTTCTAGAATAGCATTCTCAATCAAGACATTGAGAGATTGATTTTGCCAGCCCATCAAGTACTGCCAAAATAAATTCAATATCACTCTTTAGATATGCTTCAAAAAAGAAGATTATATACAAAAAATTTATCAATTTAGTTCTGGAATAATAGGTACTGTTGAATTTAATTCAAATTTTTTATTTACAATTTTGTTTTAAAAGTAAATTTTTTTATAAACTTATGAAAAATTCTCTTATATAAATAATAAAAATAAATTAAAAAATATAATGTTTTTATTTAGTATACAGAATTATAAATTTAAAAAAGAAATAGTTATTGGAGACCTCTTCTTAATTCTTTAACGATGCTATTATTATCTGTATTGTTTAAATTGAATTATATTATTTCAAGCTACAAAAAAAAAATGTGGAGGAAAAAAAAAAAAAGAATTACTGTATTTCCTATCAAAAGTTTTACAATTATAAGAAGTACTATAAAATCCATACAAATTTAGGGACAAAATGCAACAAAAAAATTAATACTAAACTATAATATAGAGAATAGTTCAGAAATTAAAATAATAATTTTCATATAACATATAATGAATGTACCTGAAATTGATACTTGGGGACAGCCCAAGTTTGTAAAGAGAGATTATTGAGGCGGTTCCTTTCAATGACAAAAGTGCGAGGTTTAATCCAGTTGAGGAGGGTGACCCAAAAGGTGAAAGGGTAGAAAAGCCAGTGATACCAACAAGAAGTTGAGGGGAGAGGCTTGGAGGCCAACCATGCAATTCCTAGACGCATGTGGTAGATGGCATGGGGTGTGGCTAGATGTGTTAAATGCACCACATGGGGTATGTCTTCTTCCTTTCTTAATGATTTTTCATACACTAAATCAGTCGAGTTCGACATTGTTCCATATATATAATCGTAGATTGGCATAAATAACGAATAATTTGTACGAAATTGTGTGTGATGTAGTGAATGAAACCTGCACATAGACTTATATCAGTTATCTTTTTTTTTATATTGAAAATTTTGTTATTATTATTATTTTTATTATAATTGTCATTATCATTTAAAATATAACTAGTAATACAGATTTGAGAATGAAGATAAAAATCAATGCAATAGTAATATAATTATTTCAACTATATTTTGTACAGTAGGAATTGGGGCACATTGTTTTTCAATTGTTGTGTTACCTCTTCTTTTTATTTAGTATATATAAATATATGCATCTTCTTACAGTTATATTTAGAGGTGAATGTGTGTGTGTGTATATATATATGTGCATTATATAGTTAATTATATTCGTACTATAATATTTATATATATATTTGTATAGGACTGAGATGAATCCTGTATGTAACACATGTTTCTATACACAGAAAATTTTGTTTGGAAGAACACTGTGGAGCCGGGGCTAAAGACTAAAAAGGGAATATTTGATTAAATAAACACTAAAAGGGAATACGGTTTTTTTCTCTTTGTGAGAGAGTCACACATGACCAATTAATTTGCCATTTTGAACAAAGTGTATAGTACTAGTTATAAAAGATAAATAAGATATCATAAATTTCTATAGTACTATGCATGTGCGTATATATATATATATATATATATTATGATAAATTTCTATGGTGCTACTGCTTTTGTGTGTGTATTTATATTTTACCCTATATTTAGTATATATTCATTAATGTTGTCAAATTTATTTATACAAGGAGAGTTAATATTCATTAAAATTTATGTGGAAATGAAATCTTTTTTTTTTTTTTATATTAAAAAATAATTTTAATTGATAACCATTCAACATCCAATATTTATATATTTATAGGGAAAAAATAAAAAATAAAAAAATTGGATTAATGGAGAAGAAACTTACGATGGAGTGTAGATGAGATATTTGAGAAGTGGGAAAATGGAGAAGAGTGATTTAGGAACAATCTCAAAGTTGCAGTGTCCCATGTTGTTCATGAAATCAATGTAGGTGAAGTAGCCAACATATGCCCCTAACGACGCTGTTCCGGTCGCCAAAACTGTGAGAAATGGTATTGAAAACATTGCGAAATACGCCAGGTGCTCTGCAAATGGATGAATCACCGCTGCAAAGTTTACAATATTTAATTAAGCATGTGAATGTACACTTACTTCTTGACTCACAATTAAGATAATTTGTTCATTTGGAAAGCAATAACATAATTACTTCTGGTTTAATTAATAATTTTTTTCAATTAAGAATAATAATAATAATAATAATAAATCCAGAAATACAAATAAGTTGAAAATCATAAAATACAGTGTACTTTTTAACAATAATATAAAATGAACTAATCGAATCATCTCTCAATTTAACAACTACCCATTAAACATCATTAATATTAAAATAAATTGTTAACAGAAAGCATTATCGGTTTGGAATTAAACCAACTTTTTCTTTTAAACTGTCTTTTTTAATTAACAAAATTAAAATAAACAATAAATTTATAAATGATACATATATTAGGAAGCCGACTTACATGTGATAGGCTCGGTGACAATAGAGGCATGATGGTGAGAATGGTAGCGAGTATAGAGATAGTGATGGTGCAACGCTCTGTGCAGCCAGTAGTAAATAAACTCGACTGGACCAGCGTGAAGCAAAATTATGAGAATTACGCCATTCGTTCTCCAAATCGGTAAGTTATGTACAGATTCGAATATCATGTGGAACGTATAAAGTAAGATTCCACTTAATATTATTTGGTCATCCCTGTCATTTCAATCTTACCCATTATTAACCTACAACTTACACAACTGTACTATACATGTATATATACATACATATTATATATGTATTACCAATTGCTTTCTCTGTCAACTTGTTCAAATTCAATAGCCTTGTCTACGATTCTGTTTTTGCCTTTCGCAGTTCGGTAACGAGAAAAACTAATCCAAATCTGGTTATGAAGAGCTCTCCATAGAAGTAATGGGATTACGAATAAGTTGGTAAAGTCTATATGGTTTTTCACCATTACAGAGTATATGCTATGCATCACCCACGGACCCAATACAATATACTGCATAAAACATATAAAATATAATATATATATATATATATATATTAGTAAGTGCCTTCTAAAACTGCCATTAACTCAAAATTAGTAAGCAAAACAATTAGATGAAGAACGAAAAACCTTGAAGCTGCCAAGAGGTTCCCAAGGCCAATGCGTTAGAATTCCTGGAGAAGAAGCCATTCTTGTTTTTTTTTAGTAGTATGTATATTGATTTTGAACCCGAGTGAACCCTATATATATATATATATATATATATATATATATATAAAATATGCAAATGAAAGCGTCAGGCTGTTTTATAGAAGTTTTATTGTTTACGTTGGAGAAATTATTACTTTTTTTAAAAATACAACAAATTAAAATTCAAGAAATTGGTTTGTTTAATTTTTTAGTATTTAGAGTAAATTTTGGTTCAATACTTATTGGTATAGAATTTGATAATTTATTTTTAATGATTAAAAAAAAAAAAAAAAAAACTTGTGATAAATAATGTTAATTTGAATGCTTAAACAGTCAAATTTGAGTTTTTAGTAATTTTAAACAACTCATATTAAACTATCTAAAATTAAAAAAAAATATATTAGCCTGGCTTGGATTTATTTATTTATTTATTTATTTGAATTTTTGTTTGATTTAATTTTAAATTTTTCTTAAAGTAGTCATTTATTTAAATTTATATGTACTTAAGAAATTCTAGTCCACCTCCCACGTGGATCACACATCACACGACCTTACGTTTTCACTATTTAGACCCATCACATCATAAAATTTGCAAACGGAGTAGGTACCAACCCCATATATATCAAAGTAACATTTATGATATGATGTTATCAATTTTTATTATTTTTTACAGTAATTTAAATTTTAAATTGATAAATTAACTGCACTGTAAAACTCTAGTTTAAAATTTTTGAAAATAAAAAATAAAAAATAAAATTTATTTATGTAACTTAATTTTAATAATATTTTATGTATATTTTTGAATATTTCAGTGGAACAACTTAAATACTTTATGTGTATAAAAGTATACAATTATATTATTGATATATTTTTATTTTTTATTATAGTAAAAAAAAAAATATCTCTATAACATAAACATATTTGTTAAAACACATTAAATTTTATGTTTTTTATTTTCTCAATTATATCAAAGTAATACCATCCCATCCCCATAACAAATAACATTTATAATATGATGTCATTAAGCTTTTTATTATTTTTTACCACAAAAATCACATAACTTAGAATTTGAATTAATAAAGTAACTACACCGCAAAACTCTGAATTTAATATTTTTCGAAAATAAAAAATAAAATGGACTGTACCGAATGGTGTGTAATTCATCTCACTACTTTCTGCTGAAATAGAGGGCTTCCATAACCTCATTTAACGTATCACTCAAATCTCATTTGCAACATCCTCAGCCTCAATTTCTTCTATATATAATATAATATAATATAATATAATATATATAGTCAAAAATTTTATCAGCCTTTATTTGTTTAGAGTGAAAAATAAAATATTATTTTATAGAATACGACTGTTTTAATTATACTGTTAAACGGTGGTCACAAACATGACGCTTACTAAACTTATTTCACCAATTTTGCATGTCCCTATTATCCGTATGTTTTCTATTTACGAAATCATACTTATAATATTTATTTAAAAGTAGAAGTACATCCAGATTGAAAAATAGAATCAAATCAAATTAAACTAAGTTTGTTTCAATATTTGGTTAAAAAGCAAGAAAGTAAAAAATAAACAGTTGTTTTGTTTTATAAATTTGATGAATAATTAGTTTTTTATTGATTATTTTTTAATTAAAAAATCCAATTTAGATTTCAAGTCACTTTTCCTATTTTAAAACTTATTTAATAATTTAAACTTTCTTATAATCAATAATTCTATAGTTTGAAGAGTTGTATTATTTCATCAGATTTGCATGTCCCCCCTCGCACTTTCAACTTCACCTCCACTGTGACTTCCTATTCTTCAATTGTGATTAATTAATTTATATTTTATTAAGAAGAATTGCCATAATACTATGAATAATTTAGATTTTATTTTTTTATTTTTTTTATATTCTTTTTCTAAACGTGTTTTATGAGATGAAAGGGTTTTCAACATATCCTTCTATTGAATGACAACAACATAAGCCTAATTGATGTCTACCAAACAGCTGGTGCATTGAATATGTCCCAGTT